CCCCGGTGTCATAACACCGGCCGATTTTGCCAAAACTTGGCCGATTCCACCAGAATCGGCCGGTGTTATGACACCAACAGCCCCAGAGAGGCCCTCAGGAAGCTTCCCCGAGCAGGGAGTTTTCGCATGGTGCAGGACCTCCAGGGGTCTCCTGGGCGGGAGTTGTTAATAAGTAGTAATGACCTTTTCTTCTTCTTCTTATTCTTATTATTATTATTATTATTAATATCATTGTTATCATTCTTACTAATAGTACTATTATTATTATTATTACTATTATCATTAATATCATAATTATTAGTACTGTTATTATTATTGTTATTATTATTATTGTTATTATTATTATTATATTAATAATTATTATTATATATTTATTATTATTATTGTTATTGCTATTGCTATTGCTATTATTATTACTAGTACTATTACTATTATTATTATCATTGTTATTGTTATTGTTATTGTTATTGTTATTATTTTTTATTATTATTATTATTACTATTATTATTACTATTATTATTATTGTTATTATTATTATTATTATTCATTATTATCATTATTCATTATTATTATTATTATTTTTATTATTCTTATCACCATTATTATCATTATTGGAGAGGCCTGACGGCCGGTGCCGCCAACCCTGATCGAAAGGGCTAGGAGTGGGGGGAGGAAGCGGAGGATGAGGATGAGGATGAGGATGAGAGGGGGAGGAGGAGGAGGGAGGAGGAGGAGGAGGAGGAGAGGAGGAGGAGGAGGAGGAGGAGGAGCAGGAGCAGGAGCAGGAGGAGGAGGAGGAGGAGGAGGGAGGAGGAGGAGGAGGAGGAGGAGGAGGAGGAGGAGGAGGAAGAGGAGGAGGAGGAGGAGGAGGAGGAGGAGGAGAGGAGGAGGAGGAGGAGGAGGAGTGCATCCTTTGTGTGCCCGCTCGAAGAAAGTGCGCCCCGGGAGTGTGATATTCTGACTTGGGACGTGCTCCTGGAAGAGGAAGAAGTGCATCTCGGGCGTGCCCGCTCGAGGAAATGCGCCCTAAGGGGGGTGGTATTTTGACTCGGGGTCCCGCTCCCGGGACGCCTCTGCGAGGAGGAGGAGGAGGAGGAGGAGGAGGAGGAGGAGGAGGAGGAGGAGGAGGAGGAGGAGGAGGAGGAGGAGGAGGAGGAGGAGGAGGAGGAGAAGGAGAGAGGAGAGGAGGAGGAGGAGGAGGAGGAAAAGGAGGAGGAGGAGGACCAGGAGGAGGAGGAGGAAGTGCATCCCGTGCGTGCCCGCTCGAGGAAAGTGCGCCCCGGCGGGCGTCGTATCTGCCCCGGGCCCCCCCCCCCCCCTCCCCCCCCCTGCGGGGAAGGAATCAAAAGGGAAGGGGCTTCCCTTCGACTCCACTACGACGTCGTTGAATTTCGCTTTGGATAGCGCGCTTGAGGAGGAGAGCCCTGGGAGGGGGAGAACGGAGACGACGGAGAAGCCCCTCACACACGCCGACAGAGTCGGCGGATTATTATCATTATCATTATTATCATTATTAGTATTCTGGTTGTTGTTGTTGTTGTTGCTGTTGCTGTTGCTGTTGCTGTTGCTGTTGCTGTTGCTGTTGTTGTTGAACATTATTACTTCTAAAGAATAATTATTGTTGGGCCCCTGGTGCACGACCCCCCCGCCGCGCCTAGGCCGCAGCCTCATTTTCATCATTTTCGTGAGGAAGTCTCAGGCAAAACGGGTTGGTCCGGATCCGGTTGTGTTGTTACGATCGGTTTTCCCTTGCAAAAAATAAGCTAAAGTGGACATTTCTTGTTCTAACATAACCAAACTTCAAGAATCCCTTGCAAAAAATAAGGTAAAGTGGACATTCGCGCGCGCAAAACGAAATCCTTCCAAAACCTTAGTTTTCGTAGCGATTTTAACATAAAAACATCAAAAACCAATGGTTTTTCAAACAAAAATTGTCAAAATTTCATCCCGCGCGCTCTTGCGGATTCGTAGGAAACCCAACACTTTTTAATCATTTCTGTCAAACGGGCTTTTGCGAGCAACTTTTTCGAACTTCTGCAACAACGGTTGCGCACCTGCCAGGGCCATCATCCCTGTCAAATAATACCATGCGGGACACATTCGTTTTTTCTTCGCGCGCGCACGCCGTCGTCGTCGGCCGCGGGGCCCTGAATAGTAGCCACGGTCGTCCGCATGCCACGAAGTGAAGTGTCCGAACGTCATAGGGCGGGAAGCTGGGTGTGGGTGGTGGCGAAGAGTCGTTTGGAAATTTGGTAGAGCTTGAACCGGCCCCCCCACAAAGTGGGGGTATTGCCCGCCTCCTATGAAAACCCTGGCACTGGTGAGAACGGTGTGTCCCCACGTGCTAGTAATTGTTGTTGAGCATTATTCCTTCTAAAGAATTATTATTGTTGGGACCCCTGGTGCGCGACCTCTGCGCCGCGCCTAGGCCGCAGCTACATTTTCATCATTTTTCGCGAAAGCTTCAGAAAAGTGGATGAGCTCCGGATCCGGTTTTTTGTTGACGCTCGTTTTCCCTTGCAAAAAACAATAG